CCAGCCGGATTTTATTGTGCGCGGATGAAAAATACTGTTCACTTTCTCACAAATTTCTCCAGATTCATCTAGATTACTGTTTACTTTCTCACAAATTCCTCCCAACGAACAGTGCCATAGTTGCGATAATGTATGGTTCAAATAATCAATGACTGGATGATCCTGTCAGAAAAAAAATTGTTGGTTCTACGTTTCTTCCAAGTTCCAAACTGTCTTTTTGCGTTGCTCTCACTTTCAGAATGAGGTAGAAACGAAAAGACAACGTACGGGATGGCTGTTTCATGATAGCCACTGGACGGTGACTATCGGTGAGACCAAGATTTTTTTTCCACTCTATAAACTATAGGGTATGGAGTTGGAACCTATTTCTAACTGAATACTAATCCGTAGGAAGAATAATAGGTATTTTGATTAAGACGTTGGAGCAATTCTACGGGACTCTCTATATCTTTTCTAATGGTTAAGAATAAAGATTTTGGTAAAAAATATCCTCCAAATATAAAAAACGAGAATAACTCTCTTAAATATAGAAAATTTGTTGAAGAGTGAAAAGATATAGAAAATAATTCTTATGCAAATGACTCTTTAAATAATGATAAAGAACATCTCTAAGAGTCTTTCTAAAGCTTGCTCTCTAAATCATCATTTGGAGAGCCATTCACATAAAAATCGTTTTCTATATATTTTTTCTATATAATGTGTGCGTTCTAAAGAGTTATTCTCGTTTTCTATCTTTGGCTAGCAATAATTTGAGAATAAAAGATGACTATTCTCTCTATTATGTAATATAGTGCATTCTAGGAATTTTAAGACATATTAAGATAGAACATAAAAGACGCATGTACCCTCATTTTATTTTCTAATCAGACGATATCATCAACATGATTAATGATGATTGGTTGATATATGGAAAATATTTAATGCAAAGTTGGTTTCTGTCCTTAGAATACATTATATTTGAGGACAAATTTTGAATGCTAGAATGCACTATATTACAGAACGGAAAGAGTATATTTGAATAATCGAATAAAGAAACCGTTAAAGAGTATTTTTTTAATAAAAACTCTATTCCTAGTAATTATGAAAGATATAGAGAGCCTCTTGAAGCTACAGCTTGATCGAAGATGCCCTCAGGACTAAACATATGCGGCCATCATTACACTATATAGTTTAATTAAAGAATCAAATAGCCATTTTTGGGCGGCCCTACCATGTTGCCTTGGTGCTTGATGACCGTGATTTGAACGATGTGGAAAGATTTGTTCATTGGTGGTGTATTTTTCTTTGGGAGAATTATCTATTTGACACTTAAACAAATCAGTGTTTTGTATTTGGCATTCGAAAATTTGAACTTTCTTATCTGGTATTAAGTTGAAATTTCTTTTCGTAAATGGCACTGTCGTTCATTTAGGACAGTAACGGTGTCAAGCGACTAGTAAAAAGACATGAATACCCTCGTTTGCAGCACAAACTCATGGTGCTAAATAGGGAAGTTCAAGTATTTTCGTATGGATCGGAATGGTAGCGGTGGCCGGAGCTCTGCCGCTTTGCTTTCGGCGGTGCTTTCCTTGTGAGCTCTGAGCGAGAGCGAGAGAGAAAGAGAGAGAGCTCCCGGACGACTGCTCCTCAACGTCCTGGGCCTGCTCCCTGCTGGCGTGACCTCATGGCGCTCTCGGCTGGCGTCCAAGGCGCTCGTCGTCGCCTCCACGACCCGCTCTGGTGGGTGCTCGTCCTCCACGAGCTCGGCGGCACGTTCGACTTCCCGGGCCCTGGCGCGCCACCTACATCGTCGCCGCCTCCCACGGCGGCGAGGCCTACCTCATCCCTCGCGCGCTCACGAAGATCAAGGGCTTCTACTCGACTACCTCTTCTAGAGCTGGCTCTGCGCCAACATGGAGATGCGGCACGAGTGGCTCATGGCGGGACAACATCGAAGCGCCGCCGCAGCATGTCCGTGGAGCGATTTCGCCGAGGTCGAGAGCCCCAACAGCCGGTCTTCTTTGGAGGGTGCATCGATACTGGCGGCGTTCTGAAATGGGCGAGACTACTTGCGGAGATCTCTCGGGTAAGGAGTTCACGGTCGGGCGAGTGAGCATGCCATTGGATAGGTACTTTTCAGACTGGCGACAATGTCTAGGAGAGGACAGGCGGTGGTGACCGAGGCGGTGGTTCATCTTTGTTCGTGTGCTCTGCTTGATCCTCATCATCGTCGGGGGCCACCCACGCCTTGGCATCTACTCCCGGGAGCTACGGTCGGTGATGGGCTACGACCGGTAGCGCCGTCGTCGACGCTCACCTTCTTCAAGGACCTCGGCCCCAGCGTCGGCGTCCCCAGGCGGCTCCTCAGCGAGGTCGCCCGCCATGGCTCGTGCTTTCGCCGTCGGGCGCCACCATGAGCCTCGCCGGGCACCTCATGGTCTCCTCTCTCCTCGTCGGCGGCGTCGCGCTACCGCTTGATCGCTCATGTGCGCCTACATCTGCACGCCCGGCGCCAACTCGTAGATGTTCGCGACCTTGGAGCCGTGATCACCTCCGTCAAGAACTTCCCGGACGGGCGGCGCGACGCTTTGCTCGGCTTGCTCAAGGGATCGTCGGCCTCGGTGAGCGCCATCCTCGCGCAGCTCTACCTCGCCATCTACGACCCGCGGCGACGTAAGTCGCTTCGTCTTGCTTATCGCTGGCTCCTCGCCGCCGTATCCGGTCATTTTCCTCGGCGTCGTCGCGTGGTGGCCGCCGCACCGCCCGAAGCGAGAGCGCGACAGCGGTGGAAGCGGCGACGTGTTCGCTGCTTGCTCTACATCTCGGTCGGCGCTTCGCGGCGTACATCCTCGCCATGATCGTCGTGCGTGCGGTAGACTAGCTTCTCCGCGCCCGGCTACCTCGCGTCGGCGACCGGGCTCCTCTGCTCCTCTTCCTCCCCCTCGCCGTCGTCGTCGGCGGAGAGTACCGAAAGCGGCTAAGAACGAGCTTGAGGAGCCTCGCTACGCCGCCGCCCCACGACGGTGACCGTCGTCGATAAAGCTGTTCGCCTTGGCAATGGAAGGACAAGGACAAGCGAACACGGCTGGCGGCGCCGCTGCCGTCGTCGGCGTCTCCTTGCCACCGCCGTGGTTGATGCGACGTTCAGACCAGCCGGCGCCGCGGCGAGAGTACTCCATCCGTGAGGCGTGCTGGCGAGAGGGAGAGCCCGCCCGTCTTGCAGGTCTTTGGGCGGCTGCGGCGCGCCACCTCGCCAGAGGGCGACCACGCCACAGCGCATGGAGGCCGCCGCGTTGGGGCCCGCCCGCCGCCACCAACTCGGGAGAGAGAGGGTGAGGGAGAGAGGAAGGAGGCGATGGGAGCAAGCTATGACAGCAGTGGCGGCGGTGCATGGGCGCGGCGTGGGAGTCTTCTATGTATCTAACGGGTACATCGGACATATAGAAAAAACTGACACGGTCAAACCAGTCAACTAACAGATTGATCAATGAAAATGGACGGCAGTGCTATTTACGAAAGGAAATTTCAACTTGATGTAAGATAAGAAAGTTCAAATTTTCGAGTATTAAATACGAAACACTGATTTGTTTCAGTGCAAAATAGAAAATTCTCCATTTTTCTTTTCTAGGGGAGGGAGAGAACTTGGAAGAAAGAGTGTACCAGGTAAGGAAATAGATCCTGATCGTTATCTTCGTGTGAAGCCGCAACTAAAATCTATTCCCAAAATCAGACTACCAGCCTGTTCGTTTTGGCTTATTTGCTCGTATCTAGTTTATAATCCACGGTTTAAACAATATTTTTCTCTCACACCAAACCAGCCAGCAGTACTTTCAGCCATGGCTTATAAGCCAATTCAGCCGAAACGAATAGGCTGTACAACTACAACGTATGTATTTTAATTTACAGAATAATTTTGTCAGACTATAATAAGGATGACTACTTCCATATACTGATATTCATACATTTTAGGTTCTCTTTTGAATGCGGGATTTTTTTTTCTACTTCTACGTTTTTTTTTTGTGATAATTGTGAAATTTCTATACGATTTCCGTAAAATTCATGTACTCCAAAGAGACCAAGTGAGAGCCTAGACCTCTAACTAATCAAATCTGAGAAAACTTTCGAAAAAGAAAACTGACGAGAGACGCAATTTTCTCTGTTTGATCAGATATCCTACTGTACGTCCGTTCCGCCTCTGTCCGTACGGAAATGTGTACTTCATCTCGTTTTTGCTACCCCAAGTAGAAACCGTAAAAGGATAATCATCCTAGGCTCCCACTCCCAGCTTCTCGCAATTGCAGCCTCCAGTCCAGCCGGTTGTGGCAGTACGGCAATTTCAACCTCAGCTGAAGGCCACCGGCACACCGTTCCGCTTGGCTGAAAAAATCAGCTGGAACACGGTTCTAATTAATTTATTATAAGAAAAAACACTATCTAGAAAAACAAGCTACAAATACGGATTATAATCCGTCTCTCCTCCATGTTCTCTCTAACGCTCTCTCTCTCAACAAAACTCCCTGAATTGCAGCGCATGTTACTCTCTCTCTCTCTCTCTCTCCACCCGAAAACAAACTCCAAGCAAGCCCATCCATCGGCCATCGGCCATCGCTCTTCCTCTGTCCCCGCCCCGACCGCAACGATCTGCTTTGCATCTTCCTCTTCTTCCATTTCCAGCCCCATGCGTAATCTTCTTTCGGAATTGAATCTCTCCGTCTCATGGCGCTCTGAGCAAGTACAGCTCCAGTTAGTGAGAGAAATGTAGGCACCACAAACCAATCCAACATATCCCTGCTCTACCAGAAATCCAATCTTTTCCCAGCCCAAATCCGCCTCTTCCGGTGCTGCCATAAAGTTTGGACTTTATTACGAGGCTTTCACGACGTGCGAGATTTCTGTTACCAATCTCCACGAACCGGAGAGTCTGCCATAAAGTCTGCACAGACGCTTCGGTTCGTTCGCATTGCTTCAACCAAAGATCCATCCAAACTCTCTACCACAGAAAGCGACGATCTTGGGGGCACATGAAGAGCCTGCAGTGCTTCAAGCAGAGCGGCGGCGGCGGCGGCGGCGGCGGCAATGGTGGCCAGCCGGGGAAGCGGCTGGAGCGGCGGCTGTCGCTGGGCGAGTACAAGAAGGCAGTGTCGTGGTCCAAGTACCTCGTGGCGCCGCCGGGCGCCAGGATCCGGGGCGGCGGCGAGGAGCTGTGGAGCGCCGACCTGTCCAAACTGGAGATCCGGGGCAAGTTTGCGTCAGGCCGGCACAGCCGCGTCTACTCCGGCAGGTACGCCGGCCGCGAGGTGGCCATCAAGATGGTCAGCCAGCCCGAGGAGGACGCCGCGCTCGCCGCTGAGCTAGAGCGCCAGTTCGCCTCCGAGGTCGCGCTCCTCCTTCGCCTCCACCATCCAAACATCATCTCGGTACTCATTTCTTTGTTTCTTTTCATATTTTCTTTTTTTTAAAATATATTGTACTTTACCGCACAATTATTCTTGACATGGACTTAGTTGAGTATGAGATGACCATCTTAGTATTCTGGGTCATATCTTTTTGCCTGTGCCACCAGTGTGATGAACTCTGCCTCGGATAAGTGGGAATCTTGTGGCTACTCTTAACCCAAGGCATGGAACAATTGCTTGTGCATTTCGTCCAGTCCAACCTAAATAAATCTATGTCTGCACTGAATCCCTGTCCCAGATGTTCATTTCTTGAGCTGTCGGTGGGGGATCTGCCTCCTAACCACTGCATGGTACTCGGTAATCTCTGTTTATAAGAATCCTTGATTTAGAAACTGAATTGATGAAGCGGAAAAAAGGAGGAAAAGTCCGGCGTATATGTGTTTGCAAGATACTTGTTGTGTTCTTGGTTTGATCTCTGTATGAAGTGCTGAATTTTTATTTGTTTGAACACGTTTTTCAGTTGAAATTGCGCGTCCCACGTCGTTGTTCCTTTGTTGGTCCTTTATATCCGTGCAGTAGGCTGTAGGAGTTGTTAGGCTAACTGATCTTCACATTAAAGTGAAAACCTTTATGCTTTGCTTGGATTGGAGGGACAGGGGTGAAGATAAGATAGTTGTGGAGTGAGGCCATTTGTGCTTACCTACACCGTAACCTGACAAGCTGGGAGGCAACTTTTTCTATGGACAGTATGAAATTGATATTTGGGATAGTGAAATTGTTGACAAGTATATACAATTTGATGTAGGATTGTTCAGGAAAAGACAAATCTTCTTGACTATGCCCTTTTTCATCTTTTGTAACCAACCCTTTTCTATCCATAAGTAGTGCGGTTAGTTGGTAATAGCACTTTGTACTTTTGTAAAATGATGTCAATTTGTTTCTGAATGTTTTTCTAGTCGCACTATCTGTCCTACTATTTAGTGGAATCTTGCATCAGTACATGTGAATAGTTAACTACATCGAAATCTCTGTGAGCGCTGCTTCAATTATAGAAGTTGTTTGATGGGAAACGTTGATTTAGCTGGTGAGAGGGATTTATCTTTATGCAATAGCGTTGATGTTGGAATAACTGAATATTTTTATACACTAGTGCTACGAAAAACTACTAATTATTTAGATTAATTTGATTAGTTCAATCACTGTCTAAGGTACCTTTTTGCTGGAAGGATGTGTATTGGCTTCATTGTGAACATGTTGGGTGAAGAGATCCTGGGCCAATGGTTATACTGAGATTGCTATCCTTGCTTGATCAATCATGCTATCTACTGCACCGCACCATAGGTGATGGCATTAGATGCTTGGCTGGCAAGTTATGAAAATGATGGTGTCTTCATGAAAACCATGGATAACATTAACATCCAAGCTTAGTTGGATGCTTTTGTAGAAAAAAAGCACATCTTGCTAGCAATAAATAACGGAGAATTGACGCAGAGAGGGATAGTTCATGTACAAGTAAACATCAGTCTGACTTTTTGCTTTACAAAGTGCCTGCCTTTTTTCACTTGACACCTAGAAGTCACATGGAAAAAGGTTGCTTTACGGAACCAACATAACTGAGTAAGCTTCGGAATTCGAATGATATTTATGCAAGTTGCAATTCCATTTTTTTTCCAATGTCTGGCAAATCTCGGCAAGAACCTTCTTCTTAGTGAACATATCATGAAAATACATTTGCTTATATTAACTCAAGTGACATGCCTGCATATGATAACTTAAACATTAACTGTTTTATACTGTCTTATATTGCATCTTGAGCTAGTCAGTCGTGTGTGCTCATTTTGTTAAACTCTACTTGATATGGAATACCACTTAATATCTTAAATTTTGCAGTTTGTTGCAGCATGCAAGAAACCACCAGTATTCTGCATCATCACCGAGTTCATGGCTGGGGGTTCCCTTAGGAAATATCTACATCAGCAGGAACCTCATTCAGTTCCCCTCAAACTAGTGCTGAAATTAGCTTTAGATATCGCTCGCGGAATGAGTTACCTACACTCCCAGGGTATACTTCATAGAGACCTGAAATCAGAGAACATACTTCTGGGAGAAGATATGTCAGTCAAAGTGGCAGATTTCGGGATTTCATGCTTGGAATCACAGTGTGGAAGTGGCAAGGGGTTTACAGGAACCTACAGGTGGATGGCTCCAGAAATGATCAAAGAGAAACATCATACTAGGAAAGTGGATGTGTACAGCTTTGGAATCGTCATGTGGGAGATTTTGACCGCTTTGGTTCCGTTCAGCGACATGACTCCAGAGCAGGCTGCTATCGCTGTTGCCCTGAAGGTATGGTTCTTGATACACCACCGCAATGTTTATCTCCGTGTGTTCACATATGCACATGAAAGATCTTTTGCATAACGTTGAGATTCATCTATCAGCCTCTCGTCTAATAACTAGTAAATCTTGTGCAGAATGCAAGGCCGCCACTGCCCGCTTCATGCCCTGTGGCAATAAGTCACCTGATCATGCAGTGCTGGGCGACCAACCCTGACAAAAGACCTCAGTTTGACGACATTGTGGCGATCCTCGAGAGCTACAAAGAAGCCCTCGGTGAGGATCCATCATTCTTCTTGTCATATATACCACCTCCGCACCACAGCCACCACCACCATCATCATCAGAGCCTTCTCCGGTGCTTCCCTCGCTCCATGCGAAGGTCTGCATCACTGAAAGTATGAGGCTGGGATATTGCCTTATCGATGCCGTGTACAATATGCACCCCCTTTTGACTTTCTTTGTTTTCTATATGCGCGCGCCGGCCCTCTATTATGCGGCATTAGCTTGCTATGAGTTAGTTTCTGCTCTCTTTTTCTCCTTGTTGGTGGCTATGAGTTAGTTTCTGCTCTCTTTTTCTCCTTGTTGGTGGTAAATTATTTCCGTCATTGATGCCTTGAGTAATGTAGAGATGACAGGCAGGCAGGCAGGCAGCTTCCGGTTATTATCTATGGATGCCATTTGCTTTTGGTGATGGAAAACATGAAAGCCTCAGTAAATGTAATATAATTTAGCTCTTCCCTCAATTGTGTTTGTGCTTCTTACTTTCAGCTGCTATCATACCCACTGCAAATGCGTGGGCAGGCAGTAAAGTATGAATCGATTGGTGTTTGTTTCTGAAATGGAAAACTTGGGACTGAAAACAGTTTGTATATATTAAGAGGTAAATCAGCAAATGTAATATGTCCGTCTTTGGTTCAACCACAAAAGTCCCCTCCAAAAGGCAAAATGATTGGCAAAATAGTGTTTGTATTCTGAAAATTAAAGAATTTAAAATAAGAGATTTGTTACCGCGCTTGGGAGGAATGGTGGGTTTCTCTCTCTGGAATTTTTCAGCCGTGTGATATGCGAAAATAAACTAATAACGACTAGGAGTATTCCTATGAGAAAACTAATAATGGCAACCTAATGAAGGTATATGTTACATAAATAATAGCAACTCATATAGATGTTACATGAATAATAGCTACTTCTAGATTAGGATGCTCTTAAATGACTGAGAAAATAAACTAATAATGACTAGAGTATTCCTATGGGAAAACTAATAATGGCAACCTAATTTAGGAAGGTATATAAATAATAATAGCTACTCATATAGATGTTACATGAATAATAGCTACTTCTAGATTAGATGCTCTTAAATGACTGCTACTGCTTGATTAGATAATTTGTAGGCATTGTTGTATGCAATATATTGTATATAGACGTATTCAAGCATTTTATACAATCCTTTTGTCAAGCATTGTTGGCCTATAAATTGGTGGAGAGAGTGGAAGGATACGATATGTAACCAAAACACTTGTTCCGCCTCTCTCGCTCATCAGTCAACATACCCATCTTAGTTGCCAAATTGAAACATGATGACGAAAATGGGCAGCACTAAGAGGCAACAAACTTTTTCCCCGATGTTCCTCCCCATGCTTACCATCTTACTGATAAGCTCTCGTAAGTCATATGCTCCCCATGTTTGTTAAAATGTCTATCAATCATCTAACTAAAAAGCAAAAAACTAACATGTCTATGACGCAGACGAGAATTTGGGGACAAATGCTCAAGTTGAGTCGTGCGTCCATACTGGATTGTATTGCATCGGAACGTGCTTGGTTCGAGGCGACTGCAATCGTTGTTGCAAGGACAACGGGTGTACCCATGGGAAGTGTAATATTCTAGTAGGATGCAAATGCTACAAGTCTTAGAATATTTTTGATACACAAGAAAACAATGTAAGAGAGACAATATGTAATAGGGTAAAGTACACTTTCCAACCCTCAGCTCACGCCGAAGTTCGATTTTCAACCTTCAACTATGAAACCGGTTAAGAAATATCCTCCAACTATCAAAACCAGACAAATTTGGTCATCGGCTGGTTTCAAAGCGGTTTTCTATTTTCGGGAGGAGCCGAAATTTTATATTATTTTTTGAGCATTTTAACGTCCTCAAATGAAAAAACTCAAAACTACAAAGTTGTGGATCTCATTGAGAGCTACAACTTTGGTATAAAAATATTTTCATTTAACTTCATACAAATAATATATTAGTGCTCTAATGCGGCAAGCGTGAGTAGACGATTATTATGGTGCTGAAATTTTATATTATTTTTTCGAGCATCTTACTGTCCTCAAATGAAAAAATTAAAACTATAAAGTTGTAGATCTCATCGAGGTCTACAATTTACATATAAAAATTATCTTCATCCGACATCGTATCGAAGGGTTATGATTTTTCGAAATTTGAGTGGCGTGACGAGACTCAAATTTCGAAAAATCATAACCCTTCAATAGGACGACGGATGAAGATAATTTTTATATGTAAATTGTAGACCTCGATGAGATCTGCAACTTTGGCCCTGTGCGCTGGGAGGAATTTGGAGGAATCTTGATGAATCTGGATAAATTTGTGAGAGGGTGAACAGTGTTTTTCAGGCCGGCAAAGTGATTTCCGGCTGGCTTCCTGACCAGCCGAACGCGCCCTTTATAGTTTTAATTTTTTTTTTCAGTTGAGGACAGTAAGATGCTCGAAAAAATAATATAAAATTTCAGCACCATAATAATCGTCTACTAGCGTTTGCCGTATTAGAGCACTAATATATTATTTGTTTGGAGTTAAATGAAAATACTTTTTATACTAAAGTTGTAGCTCTCAATGAGATCTACAACTTTGTAGTTTTGAGTTTTTTTATTTAAGGACGTTAAGATGCTCAAAAAAATAATATAAAATTTCAGCGCCTCCCTATAATAGAAAACCAATATTGAAACCAACCGAGGGTCAAATTTGTCCGGTTTTAATAGTTGGAAGGTGTTTCTTAACCGGTTTCATAGTTGAAGGTTGAAAAGGTGCGAATTAAGGGTTGGAAAGTGTACTTTCCTACGTAATAATGGGGCTACATGAATGGATCGGTGATTCATGATTCTCCTTCTTTATTTATTTTCTATTTTTTTATTTCATTCTTCGAGTCTAGAATCCCACTCATGGCGAGCATGGTTCATCCTTCAACTACCTCCGGTGACCAACCCGTGTGATGCGAGTTTGTTTTCCCTTCCGTTCGAAGCCTTCACGAGAAGTCCCGGCGCTGCCCAGCTTCCGGCCCCCTCCCTCCGTCCGACATCCTCGCCGGAGGCGAGAGGGATGTGGGCCGGCCCCCCTACCTCCTCTAATAGTAGTAGTCTTTAGTCTTCCACAGTGTTTTTAAGTTTGTTCGGATGGACATTCTCCTTTTCCGCCGCCGCCTATGCTTGGCTTCTACTGTTGTCGTCCTTGCCTCCAACGTCTTCCTCACCGCGCCCTAGGTCATGGTGGTGCTGTCACCCATGGGGTAGCGGTCAGGAACCCAATAAATGGAGAACTTGAACTGAAAACAGTTTGTATATATATTAAGAGGCAAATCAGCAAATGTAATATGTCCGCCTTTGGCTCAACCACAAAAGCCCCCTCCAAAAGGCAAAAGGATTTCGCAAAATAGTGCTAGTATTGTGAAAATTAAGAGATTTGTTTTCGTTCTTGGGAGGAACGGTGGGTTTCTCTCGGCGTAATTATTTTCAGCCGTGTGATATGAGAAAATAAACTAATGGTAATTAAGAGTAGTCTAGTCATTTTAGTGGGATATCTCCTTTCCCCTCTTTCTGTTGCACGTCAGAAAGCCGCACCGATCAGTCTCTCGCCTGCAGGGGGCTCACTAGTGCCAGCCGCCGGGATGTCACGCCACCACACGTCTGCATGACTGTATAGGGATGACTAACGGATGTTTGCAGGAGCTCTCCACCGACCGTCTGTAGGGGCGTACAGCTCAAGTACTTGGCCGGTAGGGGGCTCGGCAGCGTGCCTCCTCCCATCGCCGATCTTGGGCATCACCGCCTCCCTCGAAACGTCGGCCACCGCCGAATACGAATCAGATCTTGGCTGCATCTATGGTTAGTGGGCTTGAGTGGGTTGGGCCGTGCCAAAAATCCTGAGATGTGAAAGTGCTATTATGTTCTTGGAATTTAACTTGCCTTCGTCGGGTTTGAGGAGGCCGGTGCCGAGCAGTCGGCCTAACCCACTTCAACGGGTCAGTAAGCTCATAGACTCAACTTTGGCTACTTGGGATCGGGTGAAGCTAATGAAATTCTTTACACCACCGGATGTGAATTTGATATCGAGTATCCCACTTAGTACAAGGCAACAACAAGGCTTATGGGCTTGGCACTTTGAGAAGCGTGGTGTCTTCTCGGTCCGTTCGACATATAGAATGCTTGCACATCGTAAATCTCGGACAGACAAGAGTTCAGAAGGAGTGGTCTACATTGTGGGGAGTTAAAGTCCCTTCCAAAGTGCAGGTGTTCTTGTGGAGGTTTGCCAGATGCTCCCTCCCATCGAAGGATCTTCTTCTCCACAAGAATATGGCCGATAGCAGTGCCTGCCCCATCTACGATGCCGGGGATTCGTGGCGGCACTCACTCCTTGAGTGCAATATGGCGCGCTGTGTTTGGGCGCTGGAGAAGGAAGAAATAACTGAGCATATTATTCGGCTTCAGGATGTTGATGCAAGGCGCTGGAGAAGGAAGAAATCTTTGAAGCATGAAGACCTAATTTGGGTTACTGTTACTCTTTGGGCCATTTGGTATGCAAGACGGAAAGCTATTCATGAAGATACCTACCAAAGCCCGCTTTCGACACATAGTTTTGTTACTAGTTTTCTGGCTGATCTTCAATCGGTGAAACCACAAGCTAAGGACCGACCTGGAGTCCACAGAAGCTCCACCCGGTGGATTCCTCCCTCATCAGGGCTGATGAAGATCAATGTTGATGCTGCCTTGGCCAAGAGCTCAAGAAGTGTTGATGCTGCAGCTGTTGCGCGAGATTGCACTGGACATTTCTTGGAGGCCTCAGCAGTGGTGATGGAAAGGCAGCTTAGCCAGAAACAATGGAGGCGATAGCATGCAAGGAGGACCTGGCTCTTGCTAGCGATTTGCTCCTGCAGGACTTCAGATTGGCATGTGACAACGCCGAAGTCGTTGCAAGCATTCATGAAGGAAGTATGGGCTCTTATGGGCATGTTGTCCAGGAAATTAGAGCTAGATCAAGTGAGTTTAGATTTGTTGAGTTTGTCCACAAATGTGGATGCTCATAATTTAGCTAGTAGTTATATCTATGCTGATTTAGGGAGACATGTTTGGTTTGTATCTCCGTCTGATGGCGTTTGTACGTC